AGGAGGGGGCTTGCACTCCTCCTCGCCCCTTGGTAAGGCAGAGAGGGAGGAGAGGGGGGGATTTCACGCCCCCCTCCCCGCTTGGAAAGGGGGCAGGAGGAAGAGGAGGAGGAGTGGAGGAAAGTCCCCCCCCCTCCCGCGGGGAAGAAGCAAGCCGGGCGCGGGCACGCGCGCTTCCTCTCCCTCCCTCCTTGCTTAGCGGGCGGGCGGGCGCGCGCGGAGGAGGAGGAGGAGGAGGAGGCGGGGCTCGGGGATTCCGGCCGGCGGGTCGGGGGCGCGCGGCGCGCTCGCTGGCTGGGCTGGCTGGCTGGGCTGCCGCTGGGCTCGGGCTGTGGGGTCGGTCGGTGGCTGCCGGCCGGGCGGGCGTGCGTGAGTGCGGAGGAGCGATGGCCGCGGGCGGCGGCGGCAGCAGCAGCAGCAGCGCGGAGGAGAGGACCTACCGCCGCTTCTTGGAGGCTTTCCTGGGCGAGTTCCGCGGACCTTTCGAAGCGGCGGCCGAGAGCCCCGCGCCCGCGTCGCCCTCCTCCGCCTCCGCCTCCACCTCCTCCTCCTCCGCGGGCGGCGGCGGCGAAGGAGCGGCGGCCGGCAGCGAAGCCGGGGAAGGAGAAGAACCGCCGCCGCCGTCGCCGTCGCCTCCTCCTCCGCCTGGCGGGGACGGAGAAGCCACCGCGGCCGAGGAAGTAGAAGAAGAGGAGGAGGAGGAAGATGCAGAGGAGGAGGAGGAGGAAGGAGCCACAGCTGGACCGGAGGATGATGGAGATGAGGAGGAGGAGGAGGAGGAAGGGTCCGGACCGGACGGAGCCAGCCCTCCCGGGGACGCCGAGCCCGAGGAGGCTCCTCCGGCCGAGCCAGCGCCTCCGCCGCCGCCGCCGCCTCGCCCGGCCAGCCCTTGCCCGCCGGTGCCGCTGCCTCCGCTGCCCTCGCTGCCCCGGCCGCTCTCGGAGCACATCACGGAGGAGGAGGTGGAAGGCGAGTGCCTGGACCTCTGCCTGCAGCAGCTCTACAAGTAGTGAGTGCCGGGGATGATGGGCTTTGTGGAGGAGAGGGGTGAGAGAGAGAGAGAGAGAGAGAGCCGGGATTCCGGCTCCCAGGCGCCGCTGCTGGCTGGGTGGGGAAAGGGCTTCCCGGGGGCGCCGTGGATGGAGGAAGCGCGCGATGTCTCCGGGAAAGGAAGGTCGGTCAGGTGGGAGGGTTTGGACTCCAGGTCCCATGGTCCACAGGAGAAGGCTATAGCCCCATGACTCGGGACAGGTTTTTTGGGAGGGTGGGTGGGGGGGACTACAGTATCCATACTCCCGACTTGGGAGAGATTGTTTGGAAGGGATTACAGTATCCATACTCCCCTGTCTTGGACCTCTAGTTCCTTTTACATATCGGGGAAAGGGTGAGGGACTACAGCATCCATACTTCCCCATTGGGGATCTCTCACCCTGCATATGGGGAAAGGGTGGGGGGACTACATCATCCATACTCCCCCATCTCTAGCCCTCTCTGTATCTGCTAAAGGTGAGGACTCCACCTCCCAGGCTCCACTGCTTGGGAGACCCATCCTGGCGTTGGCGGAGAGGGTTCCCAGCAGGGTACAGAGACTACACTACCCATATATCCCCCCCCCTCTCACTCAGGAGGTCTAGCTCAGTCTAGAGAGGCTGCTTGGCAGAGCGTTGGAACTCCAAATCCCATCCTCCCCTGCTTGGGAATCCCAGCCCACCCATCGTAGGTGGGAGAAGGTTCCCGGCAGGATCTATAGACTACAGTATCCATACACCACCCCTGTCTCTCTCAGGAGGTCAAGCCCCATCTGGAGAGGCTTGCCTTGCGGCCGGTTGGACTCCACCACCCATTCTCCCCTACCCCTCTCTATACGTACGGCCCTGCCCCCCTGCAAAAGCCAGACTGCCTTTCTGCCAAGGTAAGAAAATACTTTGGAATAAAACCTGCATTCTTACACAGATCTTCATCCCGGTTTGATCCCCTCCTTCCTTCTTTCTCCAAGATCAAAAGCACCCCCAAACCCTCAGTTTTTTCCCCTCTTGGTCCTCTCCCCAATACAAATGAAAGCGCCCCCCCCAAAAAAAAATTTGGAACAGGACACCCAACAGGGCTGGTATTAAAATCACTTAATTCCACCCCCCCCCCAGCAGAGAATCAATTTCAGCTGGCCATTAGGCTGAACAGCACTCAAGAACCAGCCCCGCCAGCCACCCTGCAAAAGATGGGAACTGTCTGTGGATGATGGGAATCGGAGTTCCCCAGCCACATTTTCAGATCTGGAGGGGGGGGGTTGGGGGGGGTGGAGAGAAAAAATAGGATGTTGTCTGCCTGTACGCAGAATGGATCCATTTACCTTTTCCACTTGGCATGAGAAAGC